GCCCCGGGCTTTCCCGGAATCCGGACCCATGATTGGCCGCGGACCGGAATCGCGCTCGTGACGTCACTAGGGGCGGTGCCAGGGGCGTTAGCATCTGCCCCAGGATCCAGAGGGAGGCGGGGCGAGCGGGCGGAGGGCCAGCGCGTGGGCGGGGCGAGAGTGTGGGCGGGGTCAGGTGGGGGCGGGGCCTGCCGCGCTGGAAACTGCGGCGTCCGCCTTCCCCTCCGCGCGCCCCGCGGCGCGGTCGGTGAAGAGCCGGCCGGAGGCTTCCCGCGCTGGTGCTTTTAAGCAAGTTGGCGTAGGGCGGGTTTGGAAAACCGGAGCTCAGTAGTGAAAACCGTCGCGCTTCCTCAGGGTTTTCCTGAGGGCTCGGCGCTAAGGCCGCAGCTAAAATTAACATTACAATCGGCACTGAGAACGTTTTAAATGTCCTTTCCTTTCAAATGTTTAAGAACGCCGTATGGTCTAGGGTCCGCCTATTTTCATGTAAGTGTGGAGTTGAGCGGCCCCCCAGGAAATCCGCTTCCCTCCGCGCGGCTCTGGATGCCCCACCGCCTCCCGGTCTCCTGGAGACGGGCCGGTGTCTGCGGGCTTGGGTCTCAGGTGCGATCCGAGACCGTCCGGAATGAAGGCGCTTGGTGAGGGCATCAGTACCACAGTCCCGTGTGGATCTCCACGAAGAAGACGTCTCGATTTCAGGCCATCGGGGTAATGTGACATGTTTACAGGGACCCACCTGAACTGAGCGGGATGGGCCAGCAGACAGGCCACCCGGCGCCCGGCTGCCAGCTCTCCCTCCGGGTCCCACCCACCGGCCCAGCGCACTCCGCCCGCCCGCACAGGCTGCCTGTCCCACGTCCAGTCCAGATCCAGAACCGACCTCACGAACGGACCCACCGCATCCCTCCACCCACGCAGCCTTCGACGAGCACGCACCTTCTAGAACACTCCTCACAGCGGAGTTGTTGGGGGGTGGGGGGTGGGGGGTGGGAAGGAAAACTAAATCAACTGAGCACCTCTGAGTGCTGGTCACTAATGATACATTTCCTTGTTCCTCCCCACCCCCACCAGCCCCCTCGCCTTACTGATTGGAAAACTGCATTTAAAACAGTGATTTATCCAACAAGTCGGATTCTAACCCGTCTGCACGATGTCAAAGGACATCTCTGGCCGCTGCTCCACAAATCTGACTCATCACACACCGCACACGGCCTCTGGCAAAACGCCTCGCGCATACGAGGTGTTCAATAAATGCGAGCTAGTAAGTGAATTGATTAAACCGAGCCAGGCAACGTTTTCAGTGAATCGGATCGGAACCCCGGAATGCTCTTCGCTAGCTGGGCGAACCGTTTAGCTCTGGCATCTTTCTCTCCATGGAGGATAGATAGTTCAGTAAGTATTTGTGGAAAGAAGACCAAGTTTCCAGCTTCCATTAGACCACCCTCAACTCACACATTTTACTTAGGTGTGTAAGTAACCCCAAGCAAGCTACAACGAGGCTTGGCAGAGAAAGCATACTTTTTCTTTAAGGTGACCTAGCATACTTTTCTTATACTATCTGGCTGCTTTATAACTTGATTCACTGATGGGAATTTTAACTTTCCAGTTGCAAAGAACATGCTCCCTACTCGGCGCGGAAACGACTGTCCTGAATTTGGAGTTCAGTAATAATTACAGTTACCACATTTCCTTCCTATGGAAACATACTAATAAAGCAGGATATGTAGGAAGGCAACGTGCATTTTACCCCTCTATGTAAGAAAAGAAAAAATGGAGAAGATAGCAACTTGATTTTACTATGTGTATCTGTTAAAATATTGGTAAAATTAAAGATATTGGAAAAATACTTATCCATTTACCTTCTATCCTAGTCCACTTGAGCTGCTGTAACAAATACCATAGCCCGGGTGGCGTATAAAGAGCAGAAATTAAACTCACAGTTTTGGAGGCCGGGAGTCAGATCGGGGTGCGGGCATGGCCAGGTGTGGGTCTTGCAGGTGAGGACTTCTCCGGGGGAAGAGGGGGGAGGGGTCTCTCTGGAGCCTTTTAAAAGGCACTGATTCTATTTACCAGAGCTCCTCCCTCGAGGTTTAAGCGCCTCCCAAAAGCCCCACCTACTAACACTATGGCCTTTGGGAACTGGGACTTGAATATTGAATGGGGGTGGGGAGACACAGACATTCAGACAAAGCACCCTTAAAAAGAAGGAGTGCATCATTAATTGTCCAAGTATTCTGCTCATCCATTCAGGTAATGAGGAAGCACTGTGAACAGACACAAAAGTTACACTTCCAACATGTCACTATTTTACACACACACACAGGGACACAATTTGGGCAAAACCAAAGGCTAAGAGTATCATTATGGAGTAGACAATGCAAATTATTTTTATTATCCTTACGATTTTTCAAGTGCCTATAGTCTCTTTGAAAAGTAAATAAAAGCTTACTACTCTGCAGAATTTAAAGAGGAAGCCCTGTTTACCTGTGCAATGAGACTCGCTGAAGAATCTGCCCGAGAAGACATAACTATTTGGCAAAGATAGTCATCGCTTCACCTTCAGAATAATCCGGAAGCAAATGCTTCAAGTTTTGTGCCCGAATCTGTCCGCTGTCTGTGCTTTTGCATCAGAGCATCTAAGGTTTTCTGCAGCAGAACACACTCCCACGGCACCGCCCTGTCATTTCTCTGTTCAAGGAATGCAGCTTAAACTTATAAAAAGTTTTGACTTTACTAATGAATTCCATTTTTAAATGTTAACATTTTTACCTTTTTTAAAAAAAAAATCTTCATCCAGGCATATGTCTATTGATTTTTAGAGAGAGGAAGGGACAGAGAGCAAGAAAAACATTGATCTGTTACCTCAGATACACACCCAGCCCAGGGACCCAACCTGCAACCTATTTGTTTTTATTGTTGATAGTATTACAGAGACCCGTCCCTGTGCCCACCGCAGCCTTGAGGCCCACAGTTCCTTTCAAGGTGCACAAATTTGTGTACTGGGCCCCTAGTTTTCATAATAAAATATTACAAGTTTTTTCCTTAAAATATGTATTCTTAGAAACATTTATGTAAGTACAGCTAGGTACTTCCTAATTCTTCCTCATAGCACCCCAGAAACCTCCCTGAACTTCATGAAGCTGGGCAAATACATTAGCCGGCTAAGCTAGGCCAAGAAGAAGCTTGCTACAAACGCTGCCTTGACCTAGGAAGATGGGCCATTTTCTAAAAGTGTGGGCACGCACGTACAGTGCAATTGAAACTTTGTGGCCAATGCGCAGAAGTCGGTATTTTGTGGAAGAGCCACACTCAAGGGGCCAAAGAGCCGCATGTGGCTCGCAAGCCGCAGTTTGCCGAGCCGCAGTTTGCCGACCACTGCACTAGGGGCCCAGTGCACAAATTTGTGCCCCTTTGAATAAAAAAATAAAGACCAAACTCATTTGGTTACTTGAAAGAAATAGGGTTGGCCTCCGAGGGGCCCCGGGTTAATTTCCTGTTCCGGGGCAAGGGCCTTTTTTTTGTTGGCCACCCCCCCCCCCAAGGGGAGGGGAGGGGGCGAAGCAGAGAATGTTTCTCTCCCATCAATAAATCTAATACCCCTACCCCTCCCCCTTCCTTCTCTGGGGAAAAAAAAAAAAAATTTTTTTTTTTTAAA